GGAGATGAGACTTGAGGGTGTTTGCGCGTTGATGGTGGTAGAGGCATCCGTCGACAGGGCAATGAAAGTACCCGTCCTCGTTTCGGTGTTGGATAATCACTTGTCCGTTTAATGTGATTCGCGTGCTTTTTTGATGGACCTATGTGCCGAACAGTGAGACGTGTCGCATTTTTTTTGTGTGTTTTTCTGTCTGTGTGTGCTTTTTTTTTGGCGACGTGATAAAGCGACCTCAGGAACAACGTACCCGAGAAACGTGTTGCTCTCGTGCCAGACGATTAGGAAATGCACGCTCGCAATGACAGCACAACACTTCTTGGTTCTGTGCCATGCTGCGTTGGTGTAAGGAGCAGAGGGTGGCGAGGACTGCAAGAGGGCAAGGCGCGGCAAGAGCAGATAGCTCAGGTTCAAAAATGAATCTTGGTGCTGTCTCAGAGGGTGAAATTTTTGTTACACTTTGGTTTTCTTTTAAATGTGGAAGGTGTAACGGTCATGTTCTGGACGTTGTGAGTGAGTGTAATGTTGCTTGTCAATTAACAGTGTACACGGTTCAATACCTCACAGCCATCGTCATCATACCGCCCATGCATGATGACAATACAACGTTAGGGTCTTTTCTTTGAGCTCACTCTCACACCACAACTCTACATTCCTGAATAGCGTTAGGTACCGTCCTCACGCCACCTGCTTCTCTTTCTCTCAACTTGTATCCTTGCACGCGTTTCAAACTTTTGCTTCCTCGCCTTGATATTATAAATTGATGTCTTTCAATAATCCTTTCACCAACGCATTAGCGGTTAGCCTCCGATCGTGTCGCTGTTAGCGGTTGTGCCGAGCCCACATGACAATAAACATTCTGAAAGTTTCGATTGAGTACCGACAGTACAGCGCACCAAAAGCTCGAACGTTGACTTGTCATGTAAAGTTAATGGCCGCCACGACAAAAAGAACCCAAAAATTGAACAAATGCGAGCGACGGGCCATTCGCGAAGACCGAGTGACAGCCGGGCACCTGGTCACAATATTCGGCGCACGTCAAAACAAAGCATACGTCATCTGCTTGACGCGCTTTCGGTGCTCACGATGGAGTTCTCGTCCACCTGGAACCATCATGTGACACGCAAGCCCTACCATGAGTCCCCCCCTCGAAGCGGCTCAAACAAAGCAAACGGCGCGCCGCAACACTAAATGGCAGCCTGCCCCCTGGTCACAATTTACGGCGTACGTCACAACAAAGCTCACCTGGCATTCTTCACACGCATTCGGTGCTCACTTTGGAGTCCTCATCCACCGTCGGCCATCCTGTGACCTGCCAGCCCCACCATTAGTACCCCGCTCAATAGGCTCAAACAATACAAAAGGCGCGCCTTGGCTCCTCGGCCAACACCAAATGGCAGCCGGGCTCCTGGTCACAATTTTCGGCGCACGTCAAAACAAAGCTTACCTCGCATCCTTCACACGCTTCCGTTACTCACTGTGAAGTCCTCATCCACCGTTTGCCGCCCTGTCACCCGCCAGCATAACCATGAGTCCCCCCCCTCCATACGGCCAAACAAGAACAAAGGCGCCCCTCTGCTCCTCAACCAACACCAAATGGCAGCCGGCCTCCTGGTCACAATTTTCGGCGCACGTCAAAACAAAGCTCACCTCGCATTCTTCGCACGCTTTCGCTGCTCACTGTGGAAGTATACATCCACCTTGGCTATCCTGTGACACGACAGCCCCACCATTAGTACCCCGCTCAATAGGCTCAAACAATACAAAAGGCGCGCCTTGGCTCCTCGGCCAACACCAAATGGCAGCCGGGCTCCTGGTCACAATTTTCGGCGCACGTCAAAACAAAGCTTACCTCGCATCCTTCACACGCTTCCGTTACTCACTGTGAAGTCCTCATCCACCGTTTGCCGCCCTGTCACCCGCCAGCATAACCATGAGTCCCCCCCCTCCATACGGCCAAACAAGAACAAAGGCGCCCCTCTGCTCCTCAACCAACACCAAATGGCAGCCGGCCTCCTGGTCACAATTTTCGGCGCACGTCAAAACAAAGCTCACCTCGCATTCTTCGCACGCTTTCGCTGCTTACTGTGGAGTCCGCATCCACCGTTGGCCACCCTGTCACCCGCCAGCCCAATCATTAGTACCCCCCTCAAAGCGGCGAAAAAAGACAACAGGCGCGCCTTGGCTCCTTGGCCAACACCAAATGGCAGCCAGCCCCCTGGTCACAACTTTCGGCGCACATTAAAACAAAGCTCACCTCGCATTCTTCGCACGCTTTCGCTACTAACTGTTGAGTCCTCATCCACCGTTGGCCACCCTGTCACCCGCCAGCCCCATCATTAGTACCCCCCTCGAAACGGCCAAACAAGAAAAAAGGTGCGCTCCTCAGCCGACACCAAGTGGCAGCCGGGCCAGTGGTCACAATTTTCGGCGCACGTCAAAACAAAGCTCACCTCGCATTCTTCGCACGCTTCCGCTGCTCACTGTGTAGTCCTCATCCACCAGCGGGTACCCTGTGACACAGCACTACCGTCAGAAACACCCGGCGATTCGCGCGCCAAAACTCGCAAATATCACTTTTGCTTTCGTTTCTGGCAGCGGGCATCATGCATAACATTTTCAAAAGCGGGCCTAAGATCGGTTTCTCACCTGCATTTGAGCGGGAGTGCTTCGTGCTGGATCCGACCAGGCTCCGTGGCTCTTGCGCCTCGCCAACGCGTCCATCAGCGCACGAGCCATCGCGGCTCCTCATGGGTCAGATCGAGGATTTGTCTTGACAACAAATGGCAGCCCAACACGAGGTCAGCAAGAATGGTCCATCCATGACGGTCACGCGGCAATGTCGTTTGGCCACTCGTTCATCCATGTCGTCGCTTGCACCTCGGCAGCACTTGCCCGTCGCGCCACAACGACGACAACGCACCACCAGGAGCGCGCGCGCCCCGCCCATGGCCCGCTTCATCGTGGCGCGTCTGTGAGAAAAAAAAAATGATGAGCAAAAGGAGGATATAGAGGCAAGAGGTTAATGAAGCAAAGTTTCAATTAATTGAAGCAGATCATAGCCATTCCAGTTATTGAAGATAATAAAGATGATGACATTCTGACATTCGGTTCTGTGTTTTGATTCTCACAAAGAGCTTGTGTTTAGCGAAAACTGTCGGGGCCGACTTGGGCTTCCGCCTCACTGGGGAGCAGGATCCTCGCACTTTCAAACACAAATTCCACAAGACGCCAATGCCCATCCCTTGGAGGTAGACCAGGAACGGGCGAGTACAGCCACTCGACAAACAAGTCGCGCGTTTTTAAATCCTTCAATGTCCTTTCCCTCAAGTTGTAGCCCATCCGCTGGGCCAGGTCGCGCAGCCCCGGATGACAGTCCGAATAAAGGAGGAGACAGCTCAGGCCCGAATCCAGTCCTTGAGACTGCCTGCAAAGGTGATCCCATGTTTTACATCCACGAATCCACCTTGGCATTCCACAAGCGTAGCAACAGGCTCTGTCGGGGTATGCGAGGTGCACGGAACATTTTTTAAGTCTTGTCTCGTGTCCTTCGAAGTGACACCGCTTGCAACCACGATTAGATACGCATTGATGCTCGGCCTTCAGGACGGGTTTCGCCTGTCGAATAGTACATCGCATGCAGTAATCATCCATCAACTTCAGAACGCCAATAAACTTGTCAGCCGCCGCGTGGTGCATCAGATATTTTTTTTCTGTCCCCGATTTCGACCGAAATATTGGCGCGACGTTGTGCCGATTCGGTGGCGTAGCCGCAGCAGATACCGTGGCTTCAGAGCGAGTGGTAGCAGTAGCAGCAATGGTAGCGGTGCGCGTGCCACTTGATGCTGCTCGTTTTGCTGCGGGAAGAGGCGACTCTGCTGCTTGCGCCGCTGTTGAAGAAGCAGCAGCTGTGCACGTGACATCCGATGCCGTTCGCTTGGATGTTGAGGGAGCAGGGCTGGTAGCGACGCCGTTGCCATCGTCGTCATAATCGTCAGACCCAGAGATGCAAGTAGTTTTAGCAGCCAGCGGCACTCGCTTACGCCGCAGTGTACCCGAGGCTGAGCTTGCAGCCGATCGCGCCGGAGAGGAGGTTGAACCCGAGGCCGATGGTACTGGCACGCAAATGATCGAGGCCGACGGGGTGGCGTGTGTTTCGTGGGTGTTGGCTGTGCTGCTGACTGCATGACTGGCTGTGGCGTGCTCTCACCCTCTGCCAACTTGGTTTGCACCGGGCCACGCGCCTCTTGCTGTAAAGGCGCCTCGTCATCAGCATCAGAGACCATGGGTGAAGCTGGCACCGACATGGATGCTGTAGCTGCCTCATCAATCCAAGCAGCACTCGTCTGCATCTGTGGCACGGCAGCATCCGTCATTGGCCCTGCATTTGTCGCCACCACAGCCGTGTCCTGGGCACGTGGAGTGCTTCTGCTCGACTGCGCCGCAACGGCAGCTCGTCCTGAAGACGCTGCCGTTTCGACGTTTGATGCTGAAGCTACATCCAAAGTGGACTCTGGCCCGATCGATTCTTTTTCCTCGAGCCGTGCTGCAGGTGGCTCAGACAACACATCTTCCTCCTCCGCCATCGCCTCGGCCTCTGCTTCCACATGCATCACACTCAACGCTTGGGCAGCGCGCTGCTGGCGTGCAGCTCTTGCTGGCTCCAGGCGCTGTGCTGTTCCTGCGCACACGTCACAAAGCGGCTGGCCGGCAGCAAAGCATGTCGCGGCGCGGGGATCTAGCAACTTGCCGAGCACCCAGCTGCGGCACGCATTGCCCTCGACAAACTTTTCCATGCCTGGTGCTGGCCCACGTCTCACTGGTAGCCACAGCTCGGCAGTTCCTCCCTGTTTATCGCGACCAGCCCGACCAAATGCCTAGCCCAAGCACATGTATACCATCAGCAAATCCAACAATCGGATATTTTTTTTTCAACTCCAAATCCATAAAGTCACACGACCGCTTGAGCAACAACGTACCTGGGCCAGCGTATAGACGTTGTAGCCGTTGCCATACCACAGCACGTGGCGAATGGTGAGCAGATCCACACCCGTGCTGAGGCAGCTGGTGGCCACAATGACGTCGCATTCACCCCGTTGCCACCGTGCCACATGGTCCTTTTGCACCTTCTCCTCCAGGTCGGTGTAGTAGGGCAAGGCCATGTAGCCGTATGCGTGCAGCTGGTCACACAGCAGCTTCACCTCGTTCACGGTGTCACAAAAGACCATCATGTGCACACGCTCCCCATTCGCCTGACGCATCATCCGCTGCGTGTCCACAATGGCTTGCACATGCGACAAAAAGTTTAGCTGGTTTCCGTGAAGCACACGCAGCTGCAGATCGCGACGCATCGTCTCTAGACGGTACACCTTGCCCCCCACTTGCTGACCCAGCTTTCGAAACAGATGCTCCTGGTCCCCGATGCAAAGTGTGCCCGTCAACGCCACGCGTTTGATGTTGGTCCATCCGCCAGAACCCACACTGGCTGCGACTTCGTTCATCACATCTCGCAGTGCGGATGCGCTGAAGGCAGACCTTTCCGTGTAGCGATGCAGATCCCACGCGGACAAACATGTCGGTCGTTACGATGAGCACGTCCAGGCCATCTGCCACCTGTGTAGAAGGACCAAGCCATCGCTGGGCACTGTGACCTGCGCCTTGAAATCGCCGCAATAAATCGTTGGCCACGGCCACAAACGGCACAATCCACAGCACCGTACCGGCATGCGGGCGACAGCCCAGCTTGGGCAGGGTACAAAATGTTTTACCCATGCCTGTCGGTGCAACAACAATTAGCCATCCATCTTCCGGCCGGTGCTAATCAATGGCCGCAGCCAGGTCCAACTGTTCTTGGCTGTTGAAACTGTGGCCCCACGAGATGCTTGCCTGCTTGGCCATATTGAAGGACGATTTGAGCTGAGACAGTAAAGCGGTTCAATTGCACTTCTCTCACAGGAGAGAACGATAGAAAACAGAAAGGGAAATATCCAAAAGAAAATGCCACTCACGGTCAGCGGGACCGTACTTATAATCTGGTGGCTAAACACACCCAGAGTGTACGAGAGGGTTCCTCGACGGGCGGCGGCAGCTGCACATTGTCGAGTACACTCATGCAATCCTTCCAGAGGGATCTGGCAGGTGGTCGATGCTTGCACTCCAATAAAGCGTGCCAGTCAGGCCCACACACTTGACAGATGGGTCTTGGCGAAGATGGTCCAGCCGGCCTGGGCAGCGAACAAGACTGTCTCGATAGCTAGTGTCCACGAGCATTGTGTGAACTTCGTCCATCACTAGCATGGCCAGACGCTTCTGCTGCACGAGAGTTTGCACCCACCACATCCCATGGCCAACCAAAAAGTCGACCGTCATGACAAACACTTGCACGTTGACTTGCATGTCACGGCCATCATTCTTAGCCCACTGCGATACAATGTCAGCCAGTTCAAAGCGGCGGCACAAGTCTCTGGCAGGCTCACGAAGCGGCACTACCCACACCACGACCTTGCGTGGCTGGAGGTGAGCGAGCGTACACAGTGTTTTGCCCATTCACTATGAAGACGTTTCGGCTTCCCTTTTTTTTGGGGGGGGGGGGGTGGGGCGGGGGCGGGGGGTGGTGATTGCTGGACTTTTCTACTTCAGGCGTTTGGCAAAGCCCTTCTGTGCATTTGACTTGATTTACTGATTGCATAGCATTTAGAGAATGATCTGTCTGTGGTCAGCTCGCCAAGCAAAAATAGGAAATAGAAACGGGAAAGGTCCAAAAAAACAAATAAATACCACTTTCGGTCGACAGGACCGTACTTACATCTCGGTGACAGGAACAATTACGATGTTTTACAGGTTGCCTTGACGAGCGCCATCAAGGATAATCAAATATCATCCTGTAATGGATGATCACGATTGCCAGGACTGGCATCTTCCAGTGTGATTCAGTAACTTCTGGACATGCCTCTATGCTTGTATTCCAGTCATGAAACACCGGCCTTGCGATTAGCACTCCTCCAGTCGGCAAAAATTCAAACTAAAGCGTGCCTTGGCCCTTTTACCAATCCGGGTTCTCAGATTTTATTTTATCGCACGCTAAAACCAAGATTACTGTCAGGCTCCAGCACGTCTGGAGGCCGGTTTTGGGTTTCGAGGAAGCGCGTAGATTTGAGGAAGCGTTTTGAGAGAGGTTTGAGAAAAGTCCGTCGGAACGGAGCGAAAGCTTTGGTGTCTTGAGGTCAATTGAACCAGCTGCGGCAAGCATTCACAGTGACCAGACCAGGTGCACCGTTAGAATCGCTGTAGAGCCGCTCAATCCCGAGGATAGGGAAAGAACACAAGAGGGCAGAGCACACGGGAGAGCAAGGAGAAGACAGAATGGCAGGGGGCTTGTCGTACCTGCGGTCGGCAAGCATTCATAGTGACCAGACCAGGTGCACCGTTAGAATAGCTGTAGAGTCGCTCAATCTCGAGGATGGGTAAAGTGCAACTCGTGCCCGACCGCAGGTGCCACAACAAAGGGTAACAACAGTAGTGACAAGCTGATGGCGTGTGCCAGGAATCGGGGGTCCAAGTGTAGGTGTATGTGTGAGGTCACAGCAGCTATGGGGGTCTCAGTGGAAAGACCCATAGTGACCGAAACTGAGTGTGCGAAAGCTCAAATGCATGGAAGCACGGATTTGACGCGAACAATTACCCCACCTTTTTCACATGCTTGCGGTGCTTCCTGCAAAATCTGAATCTTCCTTGGACGACTCTATGACACACCAGCCCTGTTATTTGTAAACAGCTCCCCTCCCCTGCAAACGGCAAAAGCTCGAACAAAAGCGTGTCTTAGCTCCATGACAAATGACACCCTGTCACGCGGTGGACTACCTGACGACGCCGAGAAGACCATTTCCACTGTTTGAAGGCCAGTACACTCATTGCACAATTTGATCGCATCATCGAATCGCAAATCCTCCAACGCCTTGATCAGATTCTCACGGGCACCATTTGCCACAAGAATGCGCTCAGCCACGCGAGCCAATGCATAGCCATCATGAGACTTTTCGATCTTCTCATCTGGGCGAGCATCAGGGTGACGGTAATGCTTGAGATTGCCTGTGTAGTTGTAACCAGACACATATGGTTCGCCTTCATGGCGACTCAAGTCAAAGTCAATCAGGAAAGCCACCGGCTCCTCTGCTGTCGCTTCTTCAGTTGTCGCGGCCGCTTCCTCTGAGGGCGAGGCCATTTCCGCCGAGGCCACTTCCGTTGAAACCACTTCTGCATTCTGTGAGGGCGCTCGGCTTGGGGATGGCGTTTTATCCTCGTCGTTGGTTTGATCTTCCATCTTCCAGCCTGGCGACTTGGTCATCCAATCCTCCAGCTGCCAGCTGTTGCAAAAAAGTATGTTGCGGAGCAAGATGTCGCCGTGCACAATGCCAAAATTGTGCAACGCTTGCACCTGCTCAACAACGCTGGCCAGCTGTTTGTGCGCATTGCGGCCGCATGGAGCTGTCTTCACCCGCGGGTATCGGAGGAGCTTCACACCCTCCGCGAGGGTGTCCACCACCCACGCCTTGTAAAACTTGCCAGTCTTTTCCAACGCGCCAAGCGCTTTCAGCACCTCGAACGGCGGCTCGCGAACATCAGTGGGAGCAATCTGATACAAACATGTGCTCAAAGCCCCAGATCGGCGACCCCAGTAGTCGTAGTGCTTGATGACCCACGACTCCGACTGACGTTCGTAAACCTGCACGTTGGGCCCGTACGCGGCGCTACATGTCCAACCCTTCATGCCCCGATCCGGGCAGGGAAAGGGCTCGCAGTCGGATGGCAGCTGAAACTTGTTGCCACGACGGGCTTCGATGATACCAGGCAGGCGATTCGTGACAAAATCCTTGCAGGCTGTCAAAAGCGCCCAGACAGCCCGCTGGTCGTTGGCGTCGGTCGAAATTTTGGCGGATCCAAGTCGAAGAAAGGCCAGAAAGTATGTCTTATTTGCTTTGCGCAAGCCAAACATGTCTGCGACCACCTCAACCTCCTTTGGGCGCGTCACGTGCAAGACCAGATAGGCGGTCACAATGTCCTTACACACGTTGATGTTGGTGAGAGGATAGAACAGGTGTTGCCTTTCCTGTCGCATATCGTATTTCGTCGGCAGGATGCCAAGCCGCACAACCTCGTTGCCCACTTGGCCACCAAAGTTGTCAAAGTGCTTGCGTTCCATTTTGCACTCGCCCATGACGACCGGATGCCTCTGGGAGTCAACTCCCACCCAGTCAGCGTGCGTGGCGCCGCTGCCGATTGATGCCTGGTGTGAAAAGCGCACGACCTTCCTGACTGGTTCCTGCTCAGGGCTGACTACAGTCGTGACAAAGTGCTCGTGCAAAGCCGGTGTAATAACCGTCGAGAAGTAAGGCTCGTGCCTCAGGGTCGCGTGCACGTGGCTGAGGCACGAATATGCGGATATCAAATCGGTATGGATGCCTTCTTGAGGCAGAACGACATCAGGAGACAACAGCGCTTCAGCTTGCTGAACGATCTCAAGGGCCAAGTAATGAGAGCTCGGAGGCAGCACCACAATGCCAAAGATCTTGTCATTGCTGTTGATGTCACTAATCCTTGGAGTCTCGGAAGGTGGCTTCTCAGGCAAATAGCCTGCTGCCTCACTTGGAGACGCCTTTCGAACCCAAGTGTGCCCTGAAAAAATCAATATAAGTAACAAAAAACATTGACAGTGGTCAATTAGAGCATCCAGAGGGCACAGACGGGCAGGCGGGGCAGTCTGTCGACTTTCAAGCCCGAGCGAAGCTTTACCTGTAATGGACAGATAGGTCTGAAGAAAGTCACTGTTGACTAGGTGATGCTGGTATCGATAGCACAGTAGAGAAAATTGGTCGGTTGACATGGTTGCTAGACGATCCAACAGGTTATGGCCTCGAGGAACCTCGAAATGGTTCTCAAGGAAAGTACACTGACAAGCACGCCGACACCGACAAGTGAGAAGAGGCATTGCACCATCCTTCATCCCAGACAATTGCATTGTTGCACAGCGGGTGAGTGAGGGAGAGAGGTCGGGTATTGATGCACCAACCACTTCATTCAGCTTCTCCTTGCGCTCACGCTCCTCCTTCTCCTTGCGCTCACGCTCCTCCTTCTCCTTGCGCTCACGCTCCTCCTTCTCCTTGCGCTCATGCTCCTCACGCTCCTGTTTGCATATCTGCACGATAGTGCTCTCGTCGAAATTCAAATCCCGGAGCTGCCGCGCAAGTGCAACCACGTCCAGACCCACACTCATGCTTGTGCGTCACGCGTTCGGCACAACAAGCGGACCCACGGCCAATCGAGCGGCGATCGAGTTGGGAGAACGTGCAAAGAAAGACGAAGAAGAAAGAAAGAAAAAAAAGGTGACAATGATCAAAAGCAAAGCGAAAGAAGAAAAATGCTCCATCAGCATCGGCTGTACTTCCAAACCTCAGTATTGGATCTAAAAATAGAACAATTGGTGGCTATTTTGCTTTTTTTTGAGAGACATGGAAAGGAATGGAGAGCGGAGAAGAGAGTTGGCGGGATCGAAGAAATCTCAGGGTTGCAGAAAGAGGGATAAACAGAGGTACAGCGAGATGGAGATACAAAAGGCAGAGATTAGTGGGCGTCGAGATTGAAATGCAGTTGCTGTCTTGCTCAACTGCCTTACGCGCATCCTGTCAACTTTGAGTTGGCGTTGGACGGCTTCTGTATTTACCCTAACCCCAAGCTCTTTGATTTACACAAGCATCTCGCCTTTCCTTGGCCATGAAGCACGTGATTGATGGATCTCATCAGGGGGGCAAATTATACCGCCATGTAATTACGTGCGCATAATTAAATTGATGATGAGCGCCATCATTGTTTGCAGCGCCCTGCTTTGACTTCTCGGCCGTAAACGCCACAACAAGAACTCGGGCAAACACTCGTTTCGATTCTTGGAAGATAGTACATGAGCTCTTATGGTCACTGTCCTGTCCTGTGTCTTGGCTGTCGTTTGCCCTTTATCATCAGACCAGCGTCTGATGATGCCTTTGGACTATGTTATTGTATGCATTGAGCTGTATCTGCTCGCGATAGCAAGTGCTGCTTTGACATTGAACAGTCCAGCGTTTTGATTAATCGACAAGGAACAGGAGTGTTGTCTAGCCATTGCAGTGTTGCTTCCGCGGCACCATGGCTACTTGACGAGCGGGTACGTGTGAGACGAGCGTAGCTGCACGCTTCGTCAAAAACCGCGCACGCGTAAGCTGCAGCGCTGGCTGTAGCATGCTTGTGTTGGGGTGGGGTAGGGAGCTGACGAATGCAATGGACACGGGGGCAAACTGGTCAAGAGACTCTAGCAGAGGTGATGGCATTGGTGTGCATTTTTCATACTCGATCGTCATGTGCGTGATACCTGAGAGTATTCAATTTTATTTTTTTATCTGCATGCAACACTGCTGCGATTGTCATGGCAGCCTGATACCATTCTTTGTCTGTCATGTTTGACGTGCAAACAGCAGTCATTGCCATATCCATCAAGGCATCCAAGAACCTGCCACTCAGATCTAGGCGTCCAACAACGCTGCGACGCTCAGTTCTTGCAGTGCACAATCTTGAAAAGCGTCTGGCTCCACGCGCCAGCCAACCCCAAATAAGACTGCAATCAAAGCCTTGAAATGATGCTTCTGCTCAGCTGAGATAAGAGCTTGCACTAAACCATTCATTGCACTGTGAGCAATCCAAGAAACGAACCATACAACACAAAAGGATACGGTGTCAAGGGATGTTCCTACCCTCCGGATCACTGCTGTGGAAGAAGCCAGGCCGACAACTGGCGCAGGGCAGATTAATAACCAGCTGACGATCAAGCAAGTAAAGTTACATGGGATAAGAAGCATAAAAAGACGGCTGAGTGATCATGGCGTAACTTGAGTCGTGACTCTTACGCTCCGACTGAGATCGAATGAATCATCTAGATAGCCCTCCACGTACAAATCCAGAGGTCGCTTCTGTGCCTAGAACGATACACCAATATCAGAGCAACACTATCAAGGCGAAATACTACAAACCAAATACAACGTTGTGAACCTGGCGTTGGTGCTATCAAGTTTGTTACGCCTTTATTTGTTCGTGACTCACTTTGTCCAGCACATCGGCATCCACACCAAGCTGTAATAGCTTATTCACCATTCTCTCGTGGCCATCCCGACAAGCCAGATGCAGAGCTGTCCTGTTCTCCTACCGGTTGACTAATAACAATCAAGCGAGCGCAAGAAAGATGCAAAAGCGAGTTGATGAGACAAGAACACGCACAGCACGAGAAAGGAAGGGCACAACAAGCAAAAAGCGCTGACACAAGCCCGCAAGCACAGATTTCTTCACAATGTTATAATGAAGCAGGAGAGACAGCGACAGAGATAGAGACAAAGACAGAGGCAAAGATGGGGACAACGACGGCGGCAGGGACAGCGAAACAGACAGCAAATAAGACAGAGTAGCAAAGAGGGTTTACACCGAGAGGGGCGGAACTGACATTGTCTTTGGCCTCTAGATCAACATCGTGCCGCAACAGGATTTTCATCACGCTGACATGACCATTTCGGCAAGCAAAGTGTAGAGGCGTCATGGCAATCTGTCGGTAGCCATCATCACCACCAACACCCGTAGTTGCGTCATCGCATCCAGCAGTACCACAAGGGGTCGCACATGTCCGATTGCCCGTGGGTGGAAAGGAGCTCACGCCCACACAAATCAGAGAAAGGGGTCGTGTCGATTGCAGGAGACGGTCATACTGACGTTGTTTTTGACTTTTGCATCGACACCGTGCGCCAACAGCATCTCCACCGCCTCTACCCGACCGTTTCTACAGGCAGCGTGCAGTGGCGTGGCGCCGTCCTGCGGATTAATTTACCACCACAAGCGTGTCATGAATACATGCTCACAAAACTATTGTCAATCGATCAGCTTGTGGTACAGGTTCCACCACGGGTGGGAAAAGGCGGTAACTGAAAGAACACAACACTGACATTGTCCCTGGCTTGGGCATCAGCGCCATGCTTTAGCAGGATTTCTATCGCCTGCTCCTTATTCCGATGGCAGGCAATGTGCAGTGGTGTGTGGCCCACCTAAGGGTTGATTCATCACCACACGCAGCGTTGCATATGAACAGGTATCGGTTGAATGAAGAGCAGATCGCCATCAAAGAGGAGCATTGGAAAGGAAATTGAGAGGACTGACGACGTCCTTGGCTTCAATCTCAGCGTCATGCTTCAACAAGATCTTCGCTATCTCCACATGTCCCCAAAAGGCGGCCCAGGTCAGCGGTGTGTCGGCATTCTGCGGGTCGATTTGCGAACGCCACACGCAAAAGGCAACGACCGTTGAAGTGCAATGACATTGGAGCCCCGTGATGTTCATGCTCAAGTGCACGTTCACATGTCCCAAGTGACGTTGACAATAAAAAGGACTTACCAGCTCAGTTGCGAAGTTGGCGGCGGATCGGATGCGTGGTGCATCCCAACTGTTCAACAGCTGCAACGCCACTTGTGGATCTTGTTCGCTGCAACCCCAAACGAGCTGTTCGCCGTCCGAACGCATGATGACGATTTGCTTCTTTTTTTTTTTTTTTTTTGGGAAAGGCTGGAAGAATTCTAATCGCATGAACCCCCTCCAAATACAACTTGCTGAGATCCAGTGCTGGCAGGCAGTGATGCCGGCGTCAGAATGGCAGCCAGTCATGTCAGCTCCTTGCCTCCTCACGATGTCCTGAGACAGGATGGGCTCAGCTCACCTTTAACTACTAGTTGCAGAGAGTTGCCTGCTTGCTTGTCCGGCGCACCACATCGACCGCCGCTGTTGCGGGACGAGATCGTCTGTGGCGTGCACACTGAAGCACACACACGACACACACGCACAGACAGCGTGTTGGCGGCCAAAGCTTGATCACGCGCGTTTCGATGTGGCCAGAGGCCGCTGGCTAAGGAGGCACCACATCATGCGCAATCAATAATGAACAACCCCATGTCAAAACAACCAGCTCGCGAGCTCGACGCGTCAATCAACCAGATGTTGTGAACGCCCGTCGGGTTGCAGGCGAGTGCATGATCATCCGGCATGGTCTGCCTTCAGATGTGGCATTGAAAATATGCAGAATCCCGCTGGAGCGGCTTGAATCTCGAGCACCAACGCCCGCGCTCGCATGCGCTCACCCTAGTTTTGCAAATGCAGAAGAAGAAGTTTTTGAAGACGACAGTCAATCCCGAAAGTCACTACATGTAGTAATATTTAAATTTACAGTCACACATGGATGGCTTTCTGCTCGGTTTCTACAGAACGTGACACTGCGGTTTTCTTTGCTCGCTGCCCACAACCCGGCACGCACTCATCAAGCACCAGATTGATTGGCTGCTAGGCCTGTGGCTGCCCATCCTTGGATCTCATGGGTGCACCTCTTGCGCCGACAATAGATTCGGTGCCTCCATGCGCGACGAGGCGGGTGGCCTCTTGGATAGTCACGGCGGAGCCAGAGCAGCTCTTGGATAGGTGAATAGAGAGGGCGATGGTGCTTTTGTTGTAGTCTGATGGCGGATATTCGACACCAACAGTCATGGTGCCTCTCATACTTGTCTGGCGGGGTCTGCACAATGTGACGAGATCGCTGACGAGATCGCTGAATTTCTTTTGACATCCAATGTTAAATTGAACACAACTCTTCACATCCGCGATAAGAGAAAAAATCTATCGATGACGCGCGCAACGAGGAAAGACAGCACACAACAGGGTCTCAAACGGGTGACCCATACACTATTTGGCACACGGCCACAGGCATTATGGCGCCTGGTATCAGGCGTATCAGACCTCTACTTCTCGATTGAAGCGCAAGTACTTGAGGTCCCGTGCAGCTCGGGCATTGACGTTTGCAGCCACCTGCTGCTTGCGGCGTTGTAACAGCCAAACAAGTACAACTACGGCCACACCAGCACTCATTACAACCGCATGATAGATTTCCTCGCGATGGGCGGTCCAAGTATCAGAAAAGTTGGTGACCTGATTTTACGCTTCGCGCTTTGCTAAGTGCAACCGGCGTGCCCTTGCGGTGGCGTTGATCACTGAGTCCGAGTAGTTTTCCAATGAAGAGGGTGAAGTTATCTAAGAGCGGACATCAGACGCATGAGGAGAGCCGGGCAATGCTTGTGAGACCCATGGCTTCGAATAATGCTCGGCACACAGAGAGACCAATCGTATCCATGTGGCGTTGGCCTTGGGCCGAGGTGTCGGGCGTCTCGGCGGCGCGCTTCGGCCTGAGCTTGCGCCTTTCGCGCAGCCAAAAACGCAGCCTACCCACGATCAGTGCGAACGACGCGGTTACCTCACCACGTCGACATCCAGCCCGGTGACGATGTCGGCAATGCCATCGTCGGCATCAAGGCAGGTCTCATTCTCGCAACATGTCTTCATATGGCTTGGCCAAATGACCATACATGGCCTGGATTACCGTCGGGGTGGTCTTGCTAAAACACAGCTCTCGGACCTGGCTGTGAAGCAGCCCAAGGCCCACCCGAAGCCAATCCTTGCTCTGACTAGGATTGTAATGCCATTCATGACGCTTTACGCAAAGCGTGGCTTAGGCGAGCAAGTCGCGTGCCGAAATTCTTGCGCGCTGTGACCTGTCGCTCATGGACAGACTAAATTCATTTGTGCAAAAGCTTGAGTCCCCAAGAGCCAGGTTTGGCTCCGGGACTAAAAGCCTCTCAAGTTTACATGTTAATCATTTCACGACGCAAATCAGACTCGTCAGCCGCGCCTCAAATTAGTTCAATTATAGACAAACACGAGGCCTTGCAAGAAGAGCATCAAAATGACAAGGTTTGGATCGCTTCACTCATTGCATCTGAGCCGCAAGACAACACACCAGCGTAACAGGTGACACATCCTTCAGGACAAACGAGACCAGATCCACTTGAAGAATAATTGCTTCACTCACACAGTGGCATTCCAGACATTCAATGAATCTGAGAGCGCTTGGCTTTGGTCCTGATTGACGATGGTTGTCAATACTTCATGGCCATCAAGAGATCAGCTCCTCTGCAAAATGAAGTTTGGTAACATGTTTCAAGGCAAAAAATGCCAGGGTGACTGTAAAACGTCATTGACGGTCAGTCGGGACGTAGTATAGTATTGAAACGGCTGCGGCTGGCTATCGATACAAGTAGAGGATGGGCTCGGTGCTAAGACATATGCTGGCAAGGAACTTGCAACCCGAGGCCGTACTGTTGTCCAAAAAGGCCTAGATCATGCCGGTATTGACTGTGGACCAAAGAGCCAGCATCAACCCTAACGTTTTGGAAACGTTCTCAGCAATGCCGTGCTCACCAAAGTGCAAGCTGATTGCCGAGGTGGCAGCCGCCGGGCCTCCGCGGGGAATGCGCGTTCCATGTCGGACCGCATGCAAGTCCGACACAGTCGCCGACGCTTCCGTTGTGTAGATCCCCATCAGAGAGTTACTAAAGCCTGTCGAATCCGACTCGCGGCGCGAGTAGACCGTGTACACGTCGGGAACCGTGGCAAACTTGAACAAAACCTACCGAAACGCAGTGTCACGAGGAATACTGCCAGACATGTCCGACCTCGTATCCACGGGCTCGGCTGGAAATTGTCCCGACGTAATAGGCTTGAAGGAAGGCGTGGCCTTGGTGGCAAAGAGAGTCCTGCCAATCGCCAAGAAAGCGCAACGAAGCAGCCAATAAACCCACCGACCAGGGCAATACAAAGTCATTTAAATTCACATCAAAGCAGAGATGGAGGTGAATGCAGTCATATGTGGGCGGGTCAACAAGCACTGCTAATCAATCAGTCGACGCCTTGCAAAGGACGTACCACCCTCCGCCTTCAGTTGTCATGTCGCAGTAGGCCATCATGCCCACGCCCTGGCGCGAAATCAAGTAAATGCCATCGGCGCGTGTATCTGTCTGCTATAAAATATCCAACCAACTGCCGTGCGGGCCGTTGGTCGGCCTGCAACACTTTTCGGGCATCAAGGCGCGTGCGATACATCATCCACACGGGCTCGTGCTCAAGGCAAATGCCAGCAATGCATTTGGTCCCAAGCGCAGCATTTGAGTCGGCTGAGATGTATTTGTTGGAGCCGTCGGGACCCGACCACAGATCGATCCACCGATCCGTACCCGAGTGCTCCTCGGAGATGCCGTTGGCGCGATACAAATGTATGCGAACCACTGCCAGCATGACACCAGAAGCCGCCACCTTGCCCGTGGTTGGTGAGCGGACATTCGAGACCACCCGATGCCAGTTGCCGTTGGCTCCACCCGACACGGTGAGGGTAGTGCCGCGAAAGAAGCTGTCGAGATCGCTATCCCGTTGCGTGCGAGTATAAATGACGTAATCGGGGCTGTCAGCAAATTTGAAAAGAATTTCGAGCACCTGGGCTTGGGCTGGAATATGACCTGCACTGTCATCGTTGATGGCGGAAGCAAGCTGAAGACCACTCATTAAGCTGCTGAAGACAGGAAAGGATGGCGTCTTCTTTGTCGCAAACACCGTCCTAAACATGATGGTGGTCAACAAAGACGCCGCTGGTGAGCGCCAATATCGGGAGAGAAAAAGAAGGGGGGGGGAAGGGACACGGAACGAAGAACAAACCAGCCTCCACCAGCGGTGGTCATGTCGCAGTATACGGTTCGAATCTGATTTTCAATCTCAATGGCGTAGAGGCCATCTGCGGCGACGGCTTTTGGTGTAAAGTTGGAAATCTGCTGGCAAGAAGACCAATGGCGACGCGGCCAGGCAGACTGGACGGCAGCCCGCACTCGACACGCTCCTGCAAGGCGCGCAGCAGAGCTCAGTGTCTCGCGCGACGGGTGGCTTCTTTAGCGTTGTCAACGGCACACGCTACCCTGAGATCGGCACCGCCCTTGTGCAACGCTTGAACTATTCCACCTACCTGGGCATATCCGAGTGGCACAACGGCTCCAACCCCTGGCTTGACCTGTGGCATGTCAAGTCTGCCTATGACAAGAGTGATTGGCTTTTTTCAGATGACCCTGAAGCACTGGGCAGCAAATGTATTGCAGGCTATTGCTATCTCACAGAGCCCGTATGGTACATGGTCCGCGAGGCGCCCGCTGCCGCGCCCGACGATATTACACGGTGCATGTGCTGGCCAGCTGGCTGGACTTGAAGCGAAACAGGACTTGCGTCCAAGGGAGATCACGCGGAATCTCTCCTGCAGCGTCAGCATCAAGGCTGATTTGACGCGCTTGAGCAGCACCAAGTGCGTCAAAGTCGGTGGTCACCTTGGTGGCCATCCACTCCCAGCCACCCCCTATGCCAAAAGGTGCACTGCAGCTTGTGTGAGGCCGACAAGGCAAGCCAAGCATACCAGGCTGGAAAAACAAGCGAGCAGGTCGAGGAGCTGCTCTTTACAAGACCCAGGGGAACACACCTTCAGTGGTCATGTCGCAGCAGACTCGTGGGGATACCTCATTGCAGACGACGGTATAGTCGCCGTCGGGGGCGTGGGAAAAAGCATCTTTGATAGCACGGCACGAAGGATACGGGCTTTCATCGCTGCCAACAGCAGTCCAAGCCTCACCAACGCAAACGACGACGTGGCCTGTGGCCGAGAGAGCCAGCTGGCCAGCGTTGGCCGCAGTACACGCCTCGGCCGGGGCATCAAGGTAGATTGTATGCTCTTCCGCACATGTGGTGCGTAGCTCGTTCAGCTCGTGAATCACGTCCACACGCCATTCAGCAGCAGTGCACACTGAGGTTTCTGTGTGTGTGTGTGCTTGAAAAACATCCCTTTCGTTACCAAACGAAATGTAAGAAAAGCTGCATCACCAGCGCTTACATCATGCGTGTTTTAGTGGTAGAACACCCACAAACCCCAAAACTACCACATCATAAAACCAGCGTCCCCCCCCCCAAAAAAACGCGTTGCTACTATCACGCGTTGTGGCCCCATAGCGTACGTTGCCCCAAATGCTGGTCAAACGGCAGACGGTTGGGGCGCGGCACGATGGTACGGGGACATTGGCAGTTTGATGTCCGCCCACGCTCCAAGGCGACACTACCACCACACCGTCTGTGGTATTTTGACGTTTGGATCAGCTAACATGAACAAGCGTCGAGCCCCAAGTAATTTCATAGGGCGCGCTTGCACGTTGGCGGCTTTTCCTGGTGCCATCACTTTCGCGGGAAAGGTCATTCTCGCCAGGTGGTTGGCTCAACCAGATGTGCCTTTGAGCCAACCAAGGAGGCCCGTTGATGATGAAGTGGGTGGCCAAGATCTCAGCAAAAACAGCTGTTCCGTTGAACGTCAGCAAGCGTTCGAGGATGCTCCATCCCCAACCTCATAGGGGGCACGCCAAAGAGGTGGAACGCGGTTTTGCCCGCGGGCAAGGCACAAGTCCCAAATCTGATGCAACGCCGATGTGGTCATGTCAGCGGGCAAGCATGTCGGTATCCCACAACTACACGTGATGCGACATCCCGTTGACAGGGTCCAGTGGTTGGGTGTTGCCCGACTTTGCGCCAATTTTAACCGCCGCCGACCCAGCACCCACAGTTCGATGGAGCTTTCACGCATACTTCCGACTCCACTTGTTCATGACTTGACACACTTCACCGAAACTTGAACGGTCGTGCCCCACCCCCCCTCCCGGCCGCCCCCCCTGCAACCTCTCCAACCAGATTATGTGCCTCGCCGTGTGCGAAAGACTGACTGAGCTGCACAGCTCAAACTTCTTTCCGTCACCCTTTCCGTGAGCAGCTCAAATGCGCGAACGGCGCCCAGTGAATGGCATTTTTTTCCGTGCTCAGCTCCGACGTGTGACGAAGAGACTCCTTTCTCTTTTTCTCAGTCCACATTTCTTACTTCAAGAGCAATTCACTTCGGATGATCCAAGCCTCTCAAGACCACACCGATGATCAGTTCGCGTCTGATCCGAGGCGTCATCTTGGCAGCCTTGCTCGCCGTTGTCGTGACGGCCCAAAATGCCTCCACAACCACTGTCGCGCCGGCAAGTAGCCAGCGCTTTCGCCTCGGCATTCTCGACAACTGTAAGTGTCACATGCGGTCTGTCGTGCTCGACCATCTTCAAAGCAAAGCAGCCTGACAAGAACTCACCCTTGCTGGCTTTTGCTCATTCATAGATGCTCGCGCTCGTGCCGTCGATGAAATGACGGCCACTATGGCTCTGTTGGACATCGATGCCGACATCATTGTGGCTCCACCTGGCACTCTTCGAGAGCTGGTGCGTATTGGAAAATTGGACGCGACCTATACGCCCAGCGATCTCTTTGTGTGCATGGCCGCCGAGTATGACTCTACACCCTTGGCCGGCATTGTCCGCCATCTCAACGGTAGGACTCGCATCCTTCGCTTCTCTTTCTTTGCCTCCACCCCCCCCCCCCCTCACCCCCGCCTTGGGCTTCATGTTGCCGCCATAATCGCGCGCTGTAGATGTGGACGTGGCCTACTCGGGCGGTGTGATGTTCACGTCAATGAATAGTACCATTGAAAGTGTTGCCGATTTTCAAGGCAAGACCGTGGCTGCGATTGGTCGAGACTCCCTCCTTGGCTTTCAAGCGCAACGCCATGAGCTATGGAAGCAAGGCTACAACACCTACGAACTGTTCTCCCAGGTTTGTCAGCTTCCTTGAACCTTTGGTGCGTACCGCCACGTCCTCGAACCTCATCATACATGATATTTTCTGGATGCTTGGTGGTCAGGTCATTTACACCGGCGACGCCGAGCAGGTCGTCTGGGAAGTCCTCAACGGCACTGCAGACGTGGGCTTTGTCAAGAGCGGTGTGATTGATGGTACGGCCAGATAACTGATTAATCTCGAACCTTTGTTCGCAATTTTTACTTGGAGCCACATATCCTCGCCATTCACGAGAAGGCCGCGTTGAGGCACGCAGGAATGGTTAAGGATGGTCTCGTCTTCACCCCGGATATCAACTTTCTCAACGAGTATAATCACCGGTTTCCCAATGGCGAGGCCTTTCCGTTTCGCTGCTCCACGGGTCTTTTTGGTGGTGCGTGCCTGCCCGCCCGCTCGCGCCGGCTCGCCTGTAGCTTTCTGGTTCGACCGCTTCCTTTTGCTCAGCTGCCTTACTTTATCATCATCACATGCAACTCTTCTCACCACGTGAACCACTCCTACTTCACTTTCCATACACCCAGATTGGGTCCTGGCGTCGGTGGGCAGCTTGTCCCAACAGGCATGTAGAAATGTGGTCATTGTGTACATTGTTGGCCGGGTGCTTCACATTGCAACAACCCCGCACCTGCCCACACCTGTACAAAAGCTCACCCCAAGGCACATGCTCTGAAAATAGATGGTGCACACGGCCATCTCGCGCCTGTTTGATCTCAATATGACCCATTACCAAGCCATGGGGGTAAAGGGCGTCAGCTACTTTCGCCCGCCCTTGGCCTACATTGATACCTTGAGCCTTTTGGTGGGTGCGCAATCAAATGCTCGCCGCAGGTGTTGAACAGACCAACCCATCAAATCCGCAGTTCTCACGTGCTGGCCGCTTGGCTTGCGTGGCTAACAGCAAGACCTCACAATCATGGTTGAGGACGACTCAGATCAAAGGAGCTGCGAAAAAATGAGCTCAAGCACCGAAGACGTCGTGTGTGCCTTTGGCTGGGCTCCAGCCGACGACGTCACTTGCCAGTCCACCGACCTCTATTCGTGTCCAGTGCGCGAAGGCTTCAACTATACGTGCATTTGCGAGCCTTGCGTGCGGATTTGCCGCGCTGATGAAACGTACACGTCAAAGGGCACGTGTCGTTGTAAAACGGGCTTTGTTCGCATCGGCTCCACTTGTCAGCAAATGGGCGTCTTCATTCTCCAAATCTTGATCCCGATTGCCCTGCTGGTGGTGCTCTTGGTGTTTTATCTGCTGCACCGCCAGCATTTGAAGGCGGATGGCATTTGGCAAATCAACCCCGCTGAGCTGGTGATGGAGCAGCCGGCCGAGGTTCTGGGCTCGGGTTCCTTTGGTGTGGTACTGGCGGCCAAGTTTCGCGGGCAGATGGTGGCCGTCAAGCGCGCATATGTCAGCAAGAAAGGCAAGTTTCGAACCTCAAGCAAAACGCATGAAAGTACCCTGAAAAGCGGCACCAACAACGGGTACGGCCTGCCCTTTCACTCGCATCGGCGCCAGACGGGCAGGAGCAAGGAGCGCATGGCTCGCAACTTTGTCCGCAACGTCTTTGTCGAGGCTGAAGCCGTGGCCGAAAAGCTTGGTAGCGTTAGTCATGGGTCGACAATTCGATCCGGTCGCGTCACTACCATGTCCCAGCGCCCTTGGTACGAGCGTATTTTTGGCCCTTCGCCTGAGACGCGGGCTCGCCGGCAACTGTTTCGAGAGATGCGCCTGTTGAGCCGTATGCAACATGACAACATTTGCCGCATGATGGGAGCTGTTGTCGAGTCGGGCATGGAGCCCTTGATGATCTTGTATGTTGGACGCCATGGTCTGTGACTGGCCCTCGGGCTTGTGTTTGGTGCTTTTATTTCTTGGTTGTTGTTGTTGTTGTTTCTGTGAACACAAAAAGGGTGTTGAACAGCTCTGTTTCTTTCCTTGAGTCATAATGCTCTTGCCCCTGCCCGCATCATACTTGGCAGGGAGTACATGGAGATGGGTTCGCTGTACAGTATGCTTCACAATGAGGCCATGGACTTGGACGATGACTTTCGCTACAACGCCATTCACGACATTACCAGCGGGATGCGCTACCTGCACAACGCAGACTTGATCCACGGCGATCTCAAGGCCCTGGTAAGGCAAATCTACGCGACAAGGCGCGCGTGTTCAACTCAGTTGACGGCCTCGCGATATATATCATCAACTTATGCGGCTTTCCTTCACAGAACTGCTTGGTCGACAGCAAGTTTCACGTCAAAGTGTCCGATTTTGGTATGGCTGGCTTGGCCTCTGAGCATAGCCAACGCGGAGGCACGCTATCCTGGATGGCACCTGGTACGTTTGCTGAATCATGCACAACCTGGTTGCAATGTCTCGAGCTGCTACTGCTCTCATTTTGTGTGCAATGTGGCGGAGCAGAGTTGCTACAGGGCAACATCACGTCATTTGAAAGCGACGTCTATAGCTTTGGCATTGTCATGTTTGAAATTTTCTCCCGCGAGGACCCCTACGAGGATGTTGACTACGACTCAGAGACCCTGGCACAGAACATTGTGCGGCGCAAGCTTCGTCCAAATGCGCCAACCAACATGCCGGCCGAGTTTGCTGTGCTGATGAATGTGAGTTTGGCAACCAGTGCTTGGTCGTTGGTTCTACACGTGACGTGTCACAACGGTGTTGTTCTCGTCCACAAAAGAGGCTGCAAAACTCACCATCCCACCCCAATGTCTGCAGGAGTCTCTGGCAGCAGATCCCGACACGAGGCCTACTTTCGTGGAGCTCTTGCGACGTATTGAGCCACTCGAAGGCAAGATGAAGATTAATTCTCGCAAGGGCGCCTTCCAGGACAATGCTTTGCTCGAGCAAGTCTTTCCCAAGCACATTGCCACAGCCTTGCGCGAGGGGCGAACCATCGGTAAGAAAGGCTCTGCCACAACTTGCTGTGTAGCGAAAATTTATCCAGCTGGTGTTTTGGATTCGAGCCGCTGGCCTGCCTCATCCCTGTTTGGCTCGGCCCCGCCCCTTCTGTCAGAGCCTGAGCACCACGCCGAGGTTACCATCTTTTTTTCAGACATTTGCGGTTTTACGGATATGAGCGCCACTCTAGAGCCCATGCAGGTTTCCAACATGCTGGATCGCCTCTACCGGGAGTTTGATCAGCTCTGTGACAAGCACGGACTATACAAGATTGAAACCATTGGCGACGCCTACATGTGCGTAAGCAACCTATTCACGACACAATCAGACCACGCGGCGCGTGTGGCACGATTTGCGATGGACGCCTTGAAAGCTGCCAATGCCATCCCCATCTTGGAAAACGATCCCGACGGTCCCCACATTGACATTCGTGTGGGCTTTCACAGCGGCCCAGTTGTGAGCAACGTTGTTGGCACGTTGACGCCGCGCTTCTGCCTTTTTGGGTCGACCGTCAACTGCGCATCGCGCATGGAGAGCAACAGCGTGCGAAACTGCATTCACATGTCCCCCGAGGCGGCAGCGCTTGTGCAGAAGCAGGATGTGTCCCTCAATGTCATTCGACGTGACCCAGTAGTGTCCATCAAGGGCCTGGGCAAGATGCAGACCTACTGGCTTGGCCATGCTCCTCAGGTTTCAGACACTGAGGAGCAACCAAATCGCAAGTCACGCAAGTCACAGTTCAGCGTGGCCTCCATGCGCAGCTTGGCCTCTGTTCCTAACGCGCGCCGACCCTCAAACATCCGCGACTTGGTTGCACCGCCCTCGCCCATGGCACCCCAGGCGATGTTTGACAGTGTGGCTGTGGATATTGTTCCAGATGACTCCAAGATCGATGCAGGAAGCTCTTCTCGTCCCTCCCTGACCAAGTCGGCTGTGACGGTGCGCTTTGAGGAGAATGACGGTGACAAATCGAGTGACCTAGCCTCTCTGACAGCAGGAACTATCGATATCGAGCTGTCGGTGGACAGCAACGTTTAATCGTCTTTATCGTGCCAGCACTTTAACAAAAGTCGCACCGTATGCTTGCATGAACTCGTGTTGCCAATGGCTGAGACATGAGTTATTGATTAGCAGTGAACGAACTCTTATAATTGATCTGTGATTGGAACGAATCTAATGCTACAGCTTTGTATTCTTGGGTCTGCGCGAGAGGCCATCATTCATGCAAGCATTTCCCCAGTCGCCTTGACATGTGCATCACCGACCACAAGCCAGGCCGAGGGCACTGAGAAACGATTCGCAACACCTAATGCGGTCCTCACATACGTACGACATTGGCGCAATCGATAAACGCGGTTGCGTCCTATAACGCCGGCTTCCTCTTGGGAATTGGCTCCCCATCACCTTCTTGCTTGCATGTGCCTTGCTGTGCGCTCAAATCAAGATTCACCTGAGTAGGCTGGCACACTGCCGCAAGCAGCGTCTTTGCTCCTTGCCTAGACCTGGGTCCTCGTGAGACAAAGCCGTCCAGTAGTGTCTGTGTGGGCTGAAGATTGTGCTCTTGCTGTCTGCGTCGTCGTTTGGCCTTGCCAGGCTGCTTTTTAGGCATGTTTTTGGGCTTGCTGCCCTGCTTTTTATCCTGCAAACCAGGAGTTTTGGCGCGGTTTCGATCCCCGAGACCATAGGTAACGCTGCGCGCCGTCAGCTTGATTGATGCCTGACGAAGTCGAGGCTCTGGGGACTGAGTAGATTCGTCATGGCCTTGCTGGTCTTGTGGTGCCGCATGGGTTTGCTCGACCTCAGCTGATTGGGCCACCTCAGACCTTGGTACGATGGCGCTGGTACTACGCATTATCTGCTCGCGACCAGGCGTAGACGCCCCGTTGTTGCGTGAGCAAGTGCTACCCGCTTCCGAGTCAACTTCATGGGGTGTTGGAAGGTCGAGACCGAGTAGCGTGGTTTGCTGGGCACGTACGGCATGCCCGGACAATAAAGGTAATTTAAGCATCTTAAGCTTTGAGACCCAAGACAAGCATTGAGTTACCCAATCAGGGTCTATTGGTCCCCTGCGAACAAGTTTGTGAATATTTTGAAGGAATCGTGATGGCTGCGTGGTAATCGGGAAGCCTCCATGATCCCGGGCTGTTTTTGTTGTGGCTCGAGACAAAAGAAGGGCCACCTTGGGTCGGCTGCATGCCACCTATGTGCAACGCCCGCGGACATTGTCAACGCGTGAGATAAGAGCTGGCTGTTGATCCCTAGCAGGCACAGGTGGGTCAGATACAGGCTGCGCGTACATAGAGCAGGCGCCTCTCTTCGTCTACCCCGGCGTCGTCGCCATCGTGTTGGGTATTGATGTGGGGATAATTATGATCGTTGACATCGGGAACAGCCACGACTGCCCATTCGAGACCCTTTGCTTTGTGAACGGTGGATACAGTGATGCCATCAGAATACCGTTCGACAAAGTTGATCAACAGGTCCTGAATGGATCGTTCTACATCATCCGAGGCTTTGGCGCCATGTTGCTGGCACTGCTGTTGCTGAGTACTGGTTGCGCAATCAATCAGGAGCTCAACGTTTTTCCAGCGTCGCGTAAAATCGTTTTCACCATGCTCGTCATCTGTCTTTGCAGCTTTACAAGTCTTCTTGACATGCTCCTCGAATTTGATCTCCTTAATCACCATTTGTATGTACTCGGACAGCTCCTTAAAGTTGCCCAAACGGCCGCGCAGCTCTGCAATGAGATCTGCAAAAGACTTGGCGGGTTTGAGCTGTGAAGTGGCAGCGGCCGAAAATAGGCTTGTCTTTTGCTCTTTCGCCAAGTTGTCCAGTTTGTTTAGAGTCTGCACACCAATCCCGCGACTAGGTCTGTTGCAGATACGCTTGAAAGCATCATCATCATCAGACCTGTCGTTGATCAGGCGAAGATACGCAAGCAGGTCGCCGACTTCCTGGCTCTGGAAAGGTCCGGTTTTTCCAGCCAGGCGATAAGGCAGATGGTGTATCTTCAGTTCCTAAAACACAGTTTGTCAGGCTGCTTCAGATGACGGCCTCGGGTGTATACCAAACGTAAAAGGGGTATTCAGGAAAGACTTTCCGGATCAAAGGCCTACCTGTTCAACATTGCACAAAGTGGCATTGGTACGAAGTAAAATGGCAAAGTCTGAATAGCGTAAGGAGGCTGCAAGGAGAAAGACGAAAGCAGGGCACAGAAAAGGGAAAGCAAGATGGCAAGAAGGGTAGCACAGCATTGAGTTTGACACATGATAAACTGTGCATGACCAAAGCCCGCAGCCACTTCATTATTGACTTGGTAAGCTTGTGTGTGAATGTCTGTGCTTGTGTGTCTGCACCGGTGTGCCTTTAGGCAGAAGCAAGAGTACCAACTTTTCGCGCGGTTGGCCGTCTGAGAAAAGATTTGAACAATGCCGGAGAGCTCTTCTTGCAATGACTAAGCCATTTACAGACGAGCATGAACATGACGAGAATGGCGGTGTGATGAGAGAACGCCGAGGGCTGGATTTGTGCAAGGACCAATTTACAAAACATTTGTGGGGTAAAAAGGTGATCAGAACGGTGACGAGAAGGAGCCCACCGGGTATGTGGTCAAGCAAACGTCGGGCCCCTGCTCCTGTGTGGCCTGTTTGGTGCCCTGGCTGTCCGACTGCGATGCATCGGAGCTCAACTGCTGCTGACAAATGAGTGTCGAGCTGAACTTGAGAATGGCTTTGGTTGAGCGATAGTTCTTGCGAAGCTCAATTTGCTGGACGTTTGAGGCATAGTCCTTTTGTATGCGAACAAAGATATTGGGCTGTGCACCACACCAGCTGTATATGGCTTGGTTGGGATCACCCACCACAAAGAGGTTGCCGTCTGCGGCCAAGCGGCGTGCCATCGTATATTGAATCAGGTTGGTGTCCTGGAACTCGTCCACTAGAACGTGCTTGAAGGGTTTGATCTGCGAATTCTGCTCCAAATACTTGTCACAATTGAGCAGCTGGTCGTCAAAATCAAGCCAGTTCTGGCGTTGGCAGTGCTCTTTGTACCGCTCGTAAAATGGCAAGGTGGAACGGTACTGCGCAAGAGTTCGATGTTCCGTCTTTGATCGATCGCTCTTTGCCTCGAGCCTGTCAATCTCGCAGCTCAGGTCATGGGGGCTCCAGCGTAGCATTTTGACACGGTGAATGGTGTCACGAATGGTGTCAACCTCAAGTTCCACACCCTTCCTTCGCGCGAGCTCGAATTCTTTTTCAAAGCTCCTCAGGGTGTGTTTGACAGTCTCATTATTGATGCATTTGAAATCTGAATGGTTGCCCGCACGCTTTTCTCTTTTGCACAGCAAGGACCGGGCTACCGAGTGAAAGGTGCCGCACGAAACCTCCTGGCGGCAGTTGATGAGCTCACCAAGTCGCGTAGACATTTCCTCAGCTGCCTTGCGAGTAAAAGTCAAAAGCGCAATGTCAGAGGGTTTGACATTTTGGTTGAGTATGAGCCAGGCGGCACGGCCGGTAAGCACACGCGTCTTGCCCGATCCAGGTCCAGCACGGACGACCGTGGTGGTACCAACGCTCG